GGGGGAGGCTGCCAGGCCTGGGCCTTGGCGGGATGCTCCAGGAGGCGTGAGAAGGGTCTGCTCTGGTGCTGTGAGGAGAAAGGAAACTGATCTAACCTCGAAGGCTGCCTGTGAGAAGCCCAGGATTGGAAAGGACCGTGGACCCTCCTTGTGTCTCTCTAAATAGCTAGACACAAAGGATTTCTCTTTATCTCTACAGCTCCAATATGAAAGACCAACCAGATCTCTTTTCTACGTGTCCCAAGAGGAGCAGAGCTCATTGCTGGGAGCCCAGATGATTAGCTGCTATGTAAACTTTAGGAGGAGGGTGGCCAAGCTTCCAGGAAGCTGGGCTTGGGGTTGGGGGTGGAGCCCTGGGCTCCCTCTGAGCTCTTTCCCCCACTCCTCAGAGAAGCCCAAGGGCTGGACAGCACTCGGGTGAGCCCTTCCCTGGCAGACTCGGGCCAGTCATACTTTAAGGGCTAATCATGAGCTCCAGGCTGTAGGATGGGTGCCATGAGGGAAACAAGAACAGTATGGGGATCTCCACTGACTGGGAACTGGGCCCTGGCCAGGAGAGGGAGATTAGTGCAAGTCAATATATAACTGAGGACAAATGGTATGGCCAGGCTACAGGCGCCATGGGGCCCAAAAAAGAGTCTTTTGTATCTGAAAGAATAAAGACTTCTTGGGCCCGGCCAGGCGTGGCTCAGCAGTTGAGCATTGACCTAGGATCCAGGAGATCGAGGTGCAGTTCCCTGTCAGGGCACAAGCCTGGGTTTTGGGCTGGATCCCCAGCAAGGGGTGTGCAGGAGGCAGTGGATCAATGACTCTTTCTCATCATTGATGTTTCTCTCTCTCTCCCTCTCCCTTCCTCTCTGAAATCAATAAAGATATATTTCTTAAAAAATGACTTCTTGGAAGAGGTGGGATCCAGCTGGACTGGAGAAATGGGATCTGAACAGAGCGAAAGAAAAGGGAAGGGGTTTCTCAGGGAGGACAAGAGGGGATTGGTGGGCAGTGGGTAGGCAGAGGCTCTCACCATAGACGTGCCTCAGAGAAATGGTGGGCTCGGCGCCAGACCACCTCAATAAATATCACAATAAAGTAAGTCGTAATCTTTTTGCTGGTGGAGGGCCTTGCTTTCAATTTGTAAAAAACAAAAAACACAACATCTATGAAGTGCAATAGAGCAGGGTGCAATGAAACGAGGTATGCCTGTATTTCCATCAATAATCTGGAGGCCTGGCCATTTGGTCAGCCACACCGCAGGTAACTGTTGAGCCCTGCCCAGGTGCCAGGAAGAGGAACTGGTAACAAAACAAGATTCGGAGACAGAAGAGCCAGCTGGGACGGAGCAAGGGGGTCTTATTCAGGATAAGGGTAAGAGTGCAGCCCTATTTTTATACTGAAAAGCAAGGGAACCAAGTGCAGGGTGGGAAAACTTTACAACAGGAAGTGCTGTAAAGGTTTGCACTTTATATTGTTACGTATTTTCTAATTTTTTTTACAATGAGTATATATTACTTTTACAATCAGAAGAAAATTAAGTTATAAAACAATTTAGGGGTTTTAGTTGACCTGAAATTCAATGCGTCAACAAGGAGATGGGGCTGCCCCTGAGAAAAGCTAATGTGATCTTGGACAGTAACAGAAGTGTAGCAACCAAGACCACCTCCCTCGGCCTTGGGCTAGTTACCAGTCAGTGGGTGGCAGAGGAAGATCAGAGACAGGGGCTGAGGCCCAGCCCTGCCTCATGCTGTCTGTGTGGCCTTGGGCGAGTGACCTAACCTCTCAGTTTCCTCATCTATAAAATAAGGTGGGTTCCTAAGTTCAAAAGTCCGTTTCTGTTATAAAGACTTTATGTCTCCAGGCCCCCACCTCCATAAAACCCTTGAAGAAACTGACACACTGCAGCGGAGGTGCGGAGGCTCTGAAGCCTGAGAAGCTGCTCTGAGTGGAAAGCACAGGGCTGAGGAGTCTCTGCAGGGACTCCTTCACAGGGCTGACGGCTGGACAAGTAATCTTCCAGGCTCTTTCCACCCACAAAATCCTAAAAGGTCCAGCCCTGGCCGGCATGGTTCAGTGGTTAGAGCACCGGCCCCACACTCTCACATTGATGTCTCTCCCCCCCTCGCTCCCCCCCCTCCCGCTTCCTCCCTTTCTTCCCTCCCTCTCTCTGAAAAGCAATGGAAAAATCCTTGGGTGAGAATTTTTTTAAAAATCCGAAAGGCCGGGCCACAGTGCAGTGGTCATGACTGCCAGGCCTAATCACCATTCCCAAGATCACAGCCGGTGTGAAAATGCTGGTGAG